GGGGGCAGATATGCTGGGACACCAGCCCTGGCCTCACTCCAGTAGCCCAGTGTGGTACAGAGAACTCGTACAATACCTTCTGAGAGCCTCCTGTGCCCCTCCAAGAAATGCGACTCTGAGCAAGGCTGGGATCCAGACTCTGTCAGGGATGACAGACAGTTCTTAACTCAACAAATATGTCCTCCACGCCTGCTATGTGCCAGGCCAGTTCTAGGCACTGGACATCACCCAGGGAACACCAGAGTTCCTGCTGTAATGACAATTGCAAAACGCGCTACAAAGAAAAATATCTAAGAGGGGAGGGTATAGCTCAAGTGGTAGGGCGCTTGCTTAGCATCCACAAGGTCCTGGGTTCAATTCCCAATACCTCCTCTAAACAAACAAATAAATAAGTAAGCCTAATTACCTCCCCTGACAAAGAAAAAGAAAAGAAAGAAAGAAAGAAAAAAAGAAACAAAAATATCTACAGGGCTTTCCAGTGGAAGCCAGAGCTCTGGGAGGCCTTGCTGTGGAGGCAGCAGTTCCAGGACGGGGTGGGGATCCAGGTGGAAGCACAGCATGTGGGAAGGAGAGGCTGGATCAGGTAGAAGAGCTGGTGGCAGAGCCGTTTATTTCCTAAAAATTGGGGTGTTTTCTTTCATAACCACAGCACAATGATCAGAATCAGGAAATTAATTATTTTGCCAATTGTTCTGATAAGTTTTAGAGCAAAAAGTTTTTCTGGTCCAAGAGCCAATTCAAGATCACATGTTGCATGTGTGGTGGTTGCATGGGTTGTCGGTAGTAGTTCCTTGGCTGTTCTTTCTTTTGTGATCTTTATATTATTTAATTGAATGTCCCTCAGTTTGGATTTGTCTGATTAGATTCATGTTATGCCTTTTTGATAGAAAAGAGTGTGGGAATTTGTCATTGTCAGCATGTAATCATTTTGTACTTAAATTTTTTTTCATTTAAAACAAAAAGATGAGGAATTATCAAAGGGGATGGCAGTCAGAGATGGGAGGGAGCACAGCCAGAAACACGGGATGCTGTAGAGGGTGAGAGGGAGTCTGAAGGAGGCGAGGGGCCAAGCAGGGACCTCAGCGGCTTCTGGGAGAGGGTGGTAAGGGCAGTGTGGGCAGGGAGACTGGAGATGGAAGCTAGGCAGGAGGCTATGAGAAGCAGTGTGGGGCACTGGTTAAGCCTTGACTCTGGAGTGAGGCCCTGGATTTGAAACCTGGCTCTGCTGCTCACCACTCTGTATCCCTGGACAAATCATTTAACTTCTCTGTGGCCCAGTTTCCTCAGTGCAAACAATGACAGTCTGTCCCTCAAGACGTTGTTGTAAGGGTTGGCTCAATATGAATAACGCTCTAAGGAGACTGTGAATGTATTATCACCAGGTGAAGCCGGTTAGGGCGAGTTTTACTTAGGATGCACGGAGGAAAGAGTTGGGGGTGGAGGATAGCCCGAGAGAAGAGGTGGGAAGGGCATTCTGGCAGAAGGGACCATCTGACCAAGGGAGGTTGGTGTTGGGGACAATGTTGCAGGGTGTCACAGCAGAGGAGGTACGCTGGTAAAAGGAAGACAGGAGCCTCAGGGAAGCCGAGTTTGGGGAGGTGCCAGGACCTACCTCCAGTTGACAGCTGCCCCACCCCTTCTGGCCCTCCCTCCCCCACAAATCCCGAACCTTCCTCCTAAGCCACCCCAGGATCCGGGGCGATCTTGCCCTCCAGCGTTTTATTTGCCTCCCCAGGCACCTGGCGACCCCGCAGATCAGTCGTGTTTGCGAGCTGGGGGGCAGAGGAGTTTGGGCTCATTGGCTCCACAGAATTCACCGAGGTGAGTGAGCCCCACAGCATAATGGAGGGGATTACCGCGGCTGGGCAGCATGGGGCCTACGTCGTCCCTTCCACCTGCAGGAGTTCTTCAGCAAGCTGCAGGAGCGCACCGTGGCCTACATCAATGTGGACATCTCGGTGTTTGGTACGAAGGGCCGCTGGGCTGACTCCGGGAGGAGGGAAACGAAAGAGCGGGGGGCCGAATAGTCTTTTTGATTCTCTCGCAGCCAATGTCACCCTGAGGGCTCAGGGGACGCCCCCGGTCCAAAGTGTCATCTTCTCCGCAACCAAACAGGTGAAAGGCAGAGGGGCTGGGAGCCAGGCGGGGAGGGGGATGACCAGGGGCGGGACTACGCGTAGGTGGAGCTAGAGCTGGTACTTATCAGAGGGGCTGCTGGGTGGGACTGAAGCTGCCAGGCGGGCCTTGTAGGAACTGCAGGGTTGTGCATAGGCTGGAGATGGAGGACCCGCTGGTTGTTGGGTCCCCAGCCCTGAGACTAGATTTCCCTCCGGTCAGATCCCCGCCCCAGGCACCAGCAGTCTCAGCATCTACGACAACTGGATCCGATATACCAACCGTAGCAGCCCGGTGTACGGCTTAGTCCCCAGGTGAGCCAAGACTGGGATGAGGATCCTGGGCTGGTGAGCTGGCCCAGCGCCTTGCAACCTGACCATCTTTCTTCCCACAGCTTGGGCACTCTGGGTGCTGGCAGCGACTACGCACCTTTTGTTCACTTCCTGGGCATTTCCTCCATGGACCTCGCCTACAACTATGACCGGGTAAGTGGGCACCCTTCCATCCCCCAGCTCGGTACCTTGCTCTACCAGGCCCTCCTCTTCTTTGGGCTGCTCCAGTGCACAGTCTCGGCTCCATCACTAAGTAGCTGTGTTACCTCGGCCCAGTTTCTTTACTTCTCTTGACCTTCTGTTTACCTTCATCCATGTAATTTGATCAAATTTAAGATACTACTGAGTATAAGATGCACCGTTATGTGATGCACTGTTCAGGAGGGAAAAATCTACTATCAGTTACGATGATAGGATGACATTGACTGTAAGAAGCATCCTGATTCCAGAGATCTTAAAAGGTGAAAAAGTTTATCTCAGAATAGATTAAACTACAGTATAAAATGGGGGTGGTTTGGGGTGAAATGAGCTAAGGGGTGCCGAATGCCCAGCCTTTGTCTCCCTGTTTGATGCCCCCAAAGCCCTTTCTCCCCTCTATCGCCGAGCTGCTCCTGGGAGGTGGAGCTGGGCTTTGAACCCTCTTGTCTGACTGCAAAGCCCCAGGTTCTTCTCCTTCATGTGAAATGGGAAACTGGCACCTGACCCAGCTGTGTTACTTATTCGCTGTGTGATGTCAGGAAGGTTACTTAATCTCTCTGAGCCTGTTTCCTCCTCTGTAAAGTGGAAATTCTAGAACCTTCCTCATAGATGTGGTGACCATTTGAGATAAGGTCTCTACATTGTACACCTCCTTCCGCTTCCCATCCCAAGCCTGTCACCTCCGGGCCTTGTTCCCCCAGAGCAAGACCTCAGCCCGGATCTACCCTACCTACCACACGGCCTTTGACACCTTTGATTACGTGGACAAGTTTGTGGACCCTGGTGAGAAGTGGGACAAGGGGCATCCTTAGGCTGGAGGAAGACGGGCTGAAGATTGAGCCCTGGCCTTGTCGCCCTCCCTGCAAGGCTTCAGCAGCCACCAGGCTGTGGCCCGGACGGCGGGAAGTGTGCTTCTCCGGCTCAGTGACAGCCTCTTCCTGCCTCTTAATGTCAGTGACTACAGCGAGACCCTCCGCAGCTTCCTGCAGGCTGCTCAGCAGCATCTCGGGGCCCTGTTGAAGCAACACAGCATCAGCCTGGGTATGGAGCCCCCCGAAGTGACTGGGGTGTGAGAAGCCCTGCACCCCCAGGGCTGAGATGCTGGCTATTCCCCACAGGACCTCTGGTGACTGCAGTGGAGAAGTTTGAGGGGGCAGCCACGGTGTTGGGCCAACACATATCAACAATGCAGAAGGGCACCCCTGAGTGAGCAAGGGCTGCAATCAGGCATCTGGGAGGGTGGCATCCAGGGCAGGATGCAGGCTGGCAGCTGGGCTGCTAGCTGTAGGGTGACCAGAAGGTCCTGTCACCTCCAGCCCCCTGCAGGTGCGGATGCTCAATGATCAGCTGATGCTCTTGGAACGCACCTTCCTGAACTCGCGAGCCTTCCCAGAGGAACGCTACTACAGGTGAGCCTGTCCCAAAGCTCTTGGGAGGTGCCATGGGATGAGGCAGGAAAATGTTGGTTTTGCTGGCCTTGAGAGCACAGCCTAGCCCCTTGAGACAGCTGAGGAGTCAGGCAAGGAAGGGGAGGCAAATCGGTCAAGGTCACCCTGGGACTAGAACCGATATCTCTTCCCATCACCACTGCTGTAAGGGCCCCAGCTTTCAGAGGGCAGGAAGAGGTGCTTTTGTGCCTAGCTGTATACAGGAGCTGTTTCAGGCTGAAGCGCCCCTCTTCCCTGGCCCCTGAATGACCCTGATCCACCCCCATTTCTCCTGTCAGCCACGTGCTCTGGGCACCCCGCACCGGCTCTGTAGCCACGTTCCCGGGCCTGTCCAATGCCTGCTCCAGGGCCACGAACACAGGCGCTGGATCTGCAGCCTGGGCTGAGGTGCAGAGGCAGCTCAGTATCCTGGTGGCGGCCCTGGAGAACGCAGCAGCCACCCTGAGGCCCGTGGCTGACCTCTGACCCTCATTCTTCAGCTCCTCGCAACCCTTTATCTTAACCCCAGCCACTCCAGTTTCCTTTGAGTGTGTCCTCTGATGCCAGAAGACGACGGGACAGCAGGACCCTCTCAAACTTCTGAGGCAACAGCTCTGGGTCCCACCAGTGTGGTCACTTGAGGGGAGTGACAAGCCCCATATGAAAATTTCCCTCATCCTGGCTCTTGGTTGGCAGAGGGTGAACAGGAGACAAGGATGGTGGGAATGGCAAAACCACCAACTGCCCTTGGTAGTGGGTGGGTGAGGATGGGATGCATAATGCCAACCAAGACATCAACTCAGAGACCACCAGAGGGGAACTGAGGCCCAGGGTAGGTAGGGCATTGCCCAGTTTGGGTTCCTCTCCCCCCATACCCCTAGCAAGTCTCAACATCCCCCTGCCCTCCCTCAAATAAATCAAGCCTAGCTATTGTCCCTGCAAGACAAGTTCATTTTATTGTGTGGGAATCATGAAAAAAGAAACCTGAGTATTTCAGACCCAGTCCTGGGGCTTTGGGAGACTGCATAGCCCCTCCTCATACTGGGGACTTGGATCTGTCCACAGCCTCATCTTCCTCCTCTGCCATGACCACCTCTTCCAGGGTGCGCCCTCCAAGTTTGCTCCCCACCAACACTTGGCAGGTCCCAGCAGGTAGCAGCCCCTCCTCAGTGTAGTGACCCCTCAGGAACACAACTCTCTCCTGTCCATCTAAGGGCAGTCCATGGGCTTGGCACAGGTACCGTGCCTCCTCGGGCCCATCCAGGGCGAGTAGGTGGACCAGGAAGCTCAGAGGCAAGGTCTGGCCCTTAGGGGTGCTCAGGGCACGAGAAAGGCGGGCCAGGGCTCCCCGGCGGGCACGGCCCACATGGCATCGCACAGCACAGCTCTGCAGGTAGGGCAGGGTCCGGAGCAGGCGAAACAGGCGGGCAGTGTTGCCTTCGCGGAAGGCTGAGTCAACTGCCAGGACGGTACACAGGGCTGGGCAGGAACGCAGGGCAGCAGGTAGCTGCAGAACCTCGTGAAGGGCCTCCACCGAGCCTGTGAGGGCAGGAATGAGGATGCTGAGTCCTTCCTGGAGCAGGCCCACCTTCCACCCTATCCCCTTAGGTCTCTCCCTATCTCCCCCCCTCCTCTGGCCCTCCAAGGATCTCTGCTCTCCACCTCGCTCCCCCCCACATCCCTGCTCTGCCAGCCCCCACCCCTAGGCCAAACCGACCTTCCCTCCCCCTTAACCCCATCAGCCCCTTCCTAAGCCATATCAGAATTTGTTGCTGGAGGTTCCAAAACCTCTTCAAATAGTCTGGATCCTCATAATAAAGTGAGGCAGTGTTTATAGATAAGGGAAACAGACCCAGATAATTTAATGACTTGCCTGAGACCGTCCTAGAGTTCTTATGTAGTAGAACCTGACCCGGCCAAATCCAAGTTTTCTGACTTTGAACCCAGCCCTTTCTCTGCTACCCTAACTATGGGAGCCGGCTCTGCCACACCTTCCCCTGGCCACCTAGTAAGACAACGTCTTCTTCAAATTCTGCCTCTGCTCTCCTTCCAGGAGAATCACGACACTTGGGTCACTTTTGTAAACTGAGGCTTCTGACCCTTGAGCAGGTTGTTAACAGTATTTCAGATACAATTAAATAGAGTAGAATTTATTAAAACGGCACCATCCATCCATGAAAAAGATCTAAGGTTGAAACTTCTGCCTCATATTTGTGGGCTATGTGTTCCTGGCTCATTTGCCACACTGACTGAACTGGAGGTTTAAAAAAAGCTTGACAGCCACTATCCAACCTCATTTCCTCCACTTTCATATCCAGAAAACAGACCCAGAAATGGGAAGGGACAGGCCAGAGGTCCAGGTTGGGGCTCGGTGCACTGGCTGAGACACACATCTAGGAGATAGGACGCAGAAGGAGCTACTGGTGAGGTTTTAAAGCTTCTCCTTCTTTTCCCGGCCTCCACTGTCCACACTGATGGCCACCTGCCCTCGCGCTCTGCTCTGTCGCTGGGACCCCGACTCACCCAGGTTATAGAGCAGAAAAAGGCCTTGGAAGGCTGCCTGGCGGTGGTGCGGCCCACCGCCCAGCGCGTAGCAGCGCCGCAGAGAACCGAAGCTCTCCTGCACCTGGGCCTGCAGCAACATCAGGTCCGCTGGACTGTGCGCTGTGTCGGGTCCGAGCCGCGCGACCACGGCCAGCAGCACTGCCAGCGCCGCTTCCAGCACCAACGCCACCTCGGCGTCGCCCGCGCTCTGAAGGGCTAGGTCCAACCGCACCGCGCGCAACCGATCCGCCACAAAGCTGGCCACCTCCGCGGGGGATGCGTCGGTACGCTCCGCCACCTCACTGGCCAGGTAGCGCACGGTGGCCAGCAGCACGGACGGCGGACGCAGCTGGCTCGGCGGGGGCCGAATCTTGCCGGCGGCAGGCCGGCTGTACTCCTTCACAACGCGCTGCGGGTCGGCTCGGGGCTGGTCCCCGCGGTACCCTGGCGCCACCTCGAAGGGGTGCAGGCGGCGCTCCTTTTCGCGCTGGACGCGCTCGGCGGCTGGACACATGTCCAGGCACGTGCCCACTGGCAGCTCGCTGCCGGACATGGGTGAGCTGGAGGGAAAGGATGGGCGCTAAGCATCCCATGTACAGCTGCAGCCACTCGCCCCATTCTGCGGGAGGGCACGCCGAGGTCGGCGGAGGCTCAGGGGAGGGGCGGGGCGGGGCAGGGCAGACCCCGTCCGGCCCCCTTCCCCGGCCAGGTCCAAGCGTGCCCGCCGCCCATTTGGCCACCGCCAGCCTCTCACCGACTCCCGACGCCTCCCACAAATACTCGAGCAGGCCTCCCGAGATGCTCTGCGTTGTAGTTCTGCTCCGCCAAAACTCTTCTGCACTCTCAGGCCCCGATAAGGCCCTCCCACGATGCACCGCTGTGACCCAAACCACCCCCGTGACGCACCGGTTTGTAGCCCCTCCGCAACCAATCGCTTTGTAGGAGAGGCGGGGCAGGAGTGAGGTCACGCCTTTCCAAGCTCCAGCCCTCTGATCCATTACTGTTTGGCGTTGGACCACCTGCCCAAAATGCGTACCCTTGTTTTGTTTCCTCTTCATCGTCCTTTTCACCCAATAACCTGGCTCAATCTGCCTTAGTGTCATTCTTTTCTTTTTCCCTGGAGACTCCTCTACATATTTTCTAGATCAGGGGTCAGCAAACTTTTTCTGCAAAGGGCCCAAACAGTGAATGTTCTGGGATTTACAGGTTGCAACCAGTCAACTCTGCAACTAGTCACCTCTGCTGGTGTGGGAAAGCAACCACAGACAATACTAACGAATGAGCCTGGTTGTTTTCCAAAAAATTTTTTATTTTTAGATACTTAATTTTCATATAATTTTCACCTGTCACAGATATTATTCTTTTGATTTTCTTCAACTATTAAAAAATGTAAAAACTATTCTAGCTCATGGGCCTTACAAAAAAAGGCAGTCTGCCATATTTGGCTGCAGGCCATAGTTTGCAGACCCTGGTTCTAGAACGATAAACTAATAGTTTAGGGACCAGAGCTGCTGCTTACATATCAAGATAGAGACAGGCAGGATCAGAAGTGTGAGTCCCTGATTCCAAGGTGGCAGGTGTGCTCAGGGAGCTTAGAATTCATTATTTTTCTCATTCTTGGTCCAGTTCTATATAGAAGTGGCCTGTAGAGTTACAAGACCAGGAGATCAGGCCAGGCACCAGGGAAAGGAGAAGAGGGTGGCTGGCAGTGCTGGAGCTCAAGTCCTGGGAAAGGGTCCACTCCTCTCTCAGGATGGGCGCTGGGACAGATGCAGGTGCAGGATTTCCTCTGCCCGCTTCAGATACTCGGCTGCCTTCTTCTTCACTCCCTCCCGGCGGGCAGGTGAAGGGTCACCTGTGAAGACAGAATGGTTCAGCAGAGGTACCTGGTCCCAAGTATCTGGGTTCAGAAGCCATGGTCTAGCCCTTTACAGTTCATACAGCATCACCATGTGTCTTTCCCTGCTCCCTGAGAGTCAGACATATCCTCCTCATTTTACAAATAAGAAAACTGAGGCCACAAGAGGTAAAGAAACTGCCCAGGGTTATGTAGGTGGTCAGTGAGAAGCAATTCTGATCTTTGATCTACTTGTTTCTCACTTTCCTTTCCCTTGAAGGTACCATCCAGGACCTGAGGCCTGACCCTCCACCCTGCAGTCCTGCTCACCAGGCACTCCCTGAAGCAGGATGTGCACGCCGTCCCGGTAGCCCTGCAGAGCTGCAGGGTAGGCGCCTGCCTTCTCGTCCTGTAGGGCCTGGGTGATGAGCTCTGTGGCATGGCTTAGATAGGCAGGGGTAGGTCCTCCGTCTTCATCCTCTTCCTCCTCCTGCCCTCCTGGCTCCCAGGGTTTCTGGTCCGGCCTTTCAGATTCTGCCTCCAATGCTGTCAGCTCACCTATGTGAGTAGGACTGGGGCCTGCACCTTCTGCAATCAGATATGGAGGACTCAGGCCAGATTGGCCCTTCTTTTCCCAGGGCCTGTTGCCCACCCACAGACCTCCTTGCCCACCAGGGTACCAACCTGTCCTGGGTTGCTCAGTGTCTGAGCAATCCAAAAGCCACTTGTGCGTAGCAAACTAGCCATGGTCTATTTGGTTGGTGTTCATGCACTTCTGCCTTACCTTATTAATTCTTTCTTTTTATTTCTTTCTTTTAATTGAGGTATAATTGATTTACAAGATTGTATAATTGATTTACAAGATTATATAAGTTACCGGTGTAAAACATAGCCTAATTCTTTCTTTAGGTACACATTAACATTAATTTGTGAGCTCTGGGTCACTGGTATTATTTCCCTCCTGACTACAGTTCATCTACAAATCCAAAACCTACCTCCAAAGGTTTAGCTGAAGGACACCACACCAACTATGCCAGGCCAAGGGCAGAAATGCTTCAAGCCTTGGAATCTTAGAATAATAGATTCAGAGGATCTCAAGGCTATTTTAGGGTCTCACAATTTCAGCTGAGGCCCCAAAGGTGAAGACAGTCGGTGGTAGGTAATTAGAATATTCCAGAGAGAAGGGCTCATCATATCCCCTAGGACTGGCAAAGAGATGGTCAAAGATCCCTTCTGCAGCTTATACAAAAGGCTAGAGATTTGGTGAATTTTTGATGAAAAGGCCTTTGAAGGGACAGTGCAGGAGCAGGAACCACCACTACATACCACTGGCCAGGAGAGGGAGGGGTGGGCCTGTCTCCAACCCCATCCAAAGGACCCCATATGGAGACCAGTGGCCTCCTACAGGAAGGGAAGATGACATCTCACTTCCCAGATGGACTTATAGCCCTCCCTGTGTTGCTAATGGAGAAGGTGGAAGAGTTCTTGGGATGCCCTAGTACTTGAGTTCAGGAGTCTGGTGTACATGATGGAGAAAGAGATGAGTACTGGCTCCTTGCCTGGAGAATTCTGATAGTGAAAGGCTTGCTGGAGGTGCCCACCAAGTGGGGCAAGGACACGAGGCAGCATCTAAGCAAACTGCACTTCCAGGTTTGGTGGGGGCAAGGAATTAGGAGTTTTTCCATGGGCCAAGGAATGTCTCATGGGAGCTCGTGGTTTAAGGAGCCTTGACAGGCTCCTGCCCAAGCATCTGGGCCCTGGGCAGATGGCTGGAGAAGGCAAGAGTATTTGAACGCCTGCTTCTCAGTGGCAGGGCTCATCAGCTGCAGTGACACTGCCTCTGCCTTTCCCCTCCAGTCCCTTCTATCCCTTCCCCAACCCTGGAGGGGCCAGAGCATGGAGGGGAGGAGGGAGCAGAATAAGAAGAGTAAAAGGACACTCCTCACACCCTTGTCACCAGGGCCAGAGGCCAGGCCACCAGTCAGGCCTGAGCTGGTGGAGGGGTGAGGCTGAAAACTGGATAGGAGACAGATCCTGATTTGGATCGGATCCCTGGATGAGAGAACTCAAATGCCTGAAACTGATCAGAAAGGTAAGGGCCTGCCCAGGAGGTCACCAAAGGTGGAAGAAGGGAGGCCAACAAAATGGGCTTAAAAAAGACTGCTGTGAATCCACAATGAAACTGTTTCACAATGATCCCGAAGTGACATCAGCCACTTCAACACCCCAGTTGCAGTAACAGCATAAACTCAGAGAACTTTAGAACAAAAAGATTCAGTGTCTCAGAACCTGGGATTGTCAAGTCCCTAGATCTGACAAGGAGCTCAGGACCAGTGCCTCCATGGGGAACTTCTATCTCTGGTACCCACACATGCCAGCGGCTGCTCCAGGGACCTCCTCTGCTGTCCTCTGAGCCAAGACTTCACCCCTTTTCACTAACAGGCCTCTTCTGCCTTTAGGATCTGCAGCTGGATCCTGAGACAGCCAGGAACCCCCCACCCCCCCGGGCTTCCAACAGAGGAACTCAGACCTTCCCGGGGCAGGGTGGCCCCTCGCCCATTCCAAAGCTTTCTCAGGGAGAAGATCCCATGGAAAGTAGCTCACTTCCTCCATGGTTGCTGACGGTACAGGGCACCCAGCTCGCCAGCACGGCCCCAGCACTCGGGAAGGGGCACTGCTTCTAATTCTCATCAAGGCTGCCGTTCGCCCACAGGGCGAATTTTTTCTCAAATTTACACAGCCACCAAACCGGCCAGCTGGTGGCTATGCCTGCCTCAGCCTCCCTGCCCCTAAGGACCTCCAGCCCAGCTCCTCCCTGCCCCACCCCCTACCCCACTTGTCCCAGCGTGTTACCTTCCTTGGAGAAGGGGTCGAAGAGGGCAAGCTCAGCCTCGGTGAGAGGGCCTCGGGAGGGGGAACTGGACGCCTCCTCGGTGCCCCCACAGTTAAAGAGGAGATCCAGGGCCTCCTGGGCAGGGCTGGATGGTGGAGGATCCACTGAGGAATAGATTGTTGGGGACATTCATGCCTGCCTTTATTGTTTCCCAGCTTTCAAAATGTAATCACCCTCTCACAGAATCCCTGCAGCAACCTGGGGCATAGACAAGCCCATTCTTAAGGTCTGTGCCCAGATTAAGAAACTAGCCCAGAGAAGGAAAATGACCTGGGCAGAGTTCCTCAGCAGGATAATGGTAAAGGAGCCGGGAAACACCCCAGGCTTTTCACTGAGGAGGGAGTGTCCCCCCAGCCCCCCTGCCAAACATACACACATTCTAGATCCTCCAGCCCTGGCTCTCTCTCCCACCCCATGTACCTGGCACCTCCAACTCCTCGAGGCCCCTCCTCTCCACTGGGAGTGGCTGGGGCAACCAGGGCTCACGAGGCTGCAGCCGAGGCTCGTCAGGGGGTGGCGTGGGGATCAGAGGAGGTGGCAGGATGTGCATGTCCCTGGATGCCTCAGAGGGCCGTGTCACCTCCCCACCCTGCAAGAGAGAAAGAGTAGCCTGGGGGTGTCACAGGGTGCAGCCTGGCGGGCAGGTAAGCTTCCCAAGTGCTGGGGAGAGGGGAAGAACAGGTACACGTACCCGGAAGAACTCCTTGAGTTGCGGGCTGTTGTTGAGCGCGGGGATGTGCACAGTGAAGCGAAGCAGGTCCTCAGCCCCCTTCCGCCGCTCCTCGATCACTGAGGCTTCAAACCGGCCTGCACCCGCCAGGGCAAGGGGCAGGGAGAGAAACAGTGACCCAAAGGGGCTTCTGGCCCCTGTGGGCCACTATTCCTGGTTCTGCCTGAGAGGGTCTGAGCAGCCCACCACCCCTTCCCCATTCTCCCAGCAATCTTCCTTGGCTCTGCCCAGGGTGAGCGTCTGGCAAGGAGGGACCGATCTCCTTATTCATCCATTTTCCAGATGTTTAGGGAGCACCTAACTATGTGCTAGGTTCAGAAGATGAATGAGAGAGAATAGCAGAAAGCAAAATGAAACCTAGCAGGTTACTGAAACACTGCCAATATGGGTTTTACAATATGACTGGTTGTATGACAAACTTTTCATATTAGTTACTGCTTGAAGCTACAACTCTAAGCCTTTTTAAAGAAATGGTTTCTAGTTTCCCTTTTGATTGCTGCAATAAAATATTATGTTTGCAAAAAAATAAAAAACAAAAAACTAACAAAAAAGGAGGATGAATGAGAGAGAAGGTCTCTAGATATCACATCCTAGACAGGGGGAGGCAGGCAACCAACCAGAAACAAATCATTTCAGATAGTTCTGATATAATAGAAACGCAAATAAGAGAGGGGAAGTGACTTGCCCAAGGTCACATAGCAAGTAGCCCCATCTTTACAGTTTCACCGTTCTCTTCGAGGCAGCAGGCAGTTATTTATTTAACTCTGGGCTAGTTATCATGCTGCCAGGGGGAGTAGCTACTGTATTCCCCACTGTCTGGCATAATCTGCCAGTAGTGACCGTTCACCTTGCCATGAAAGAACATCTCCTGTCAGTCTAGAGACCCAAGGAACAGATCAGCCCTGTCTACGAGAAATAATATGAAACTCATGTGTAAGTTATAATTTTTAGTAGCCACATTTTTAAAAAAGGTAAAAACAGGTTAATTTTAATTACATATTCTATTTAACCCAACATATCTAAAATATTCTCATTTGAACATGTAATTGATATATAAATTATTGAAATAGTTTACATTCTTTTTTTTTTAAATGAAGGCACTGGGGATTGAACCCAGGACATCGTGCATGCTAAGCATGCGCTCTACCACTGAGCTATATCCTCCCCCCAGATTCTTTTTTCAGTTGTATTCGACCGATGCAGCACCTCTCAGTTCAGACTAGCCACATCTCTGGCGCTCCTCAGCCATAGGTGGTTCAGGGCTGCTATTTCTGGACAGCACAGGTCTGGAGGAAACATTGGTTTGTGGCTTGGAATTCTAGTTCAGCCCCTTTACCTCCCTGAGACTCAGTTTCCTCATCTTGGAAATGGGGCTAATGAGGACAGGAGTGTTAAAGGGCTCAACATACAGTATGGGCAAAGCTCAGAGCGGTTTCCCTAAGTGAAAAATGAGGCCACCTTGAAGGGCCCTTCCAGCTGTCTGAAACATGTCTTTGCCATGAGTTTCAGGCTCCCTTCTATTCAGCCCTCACCAGCAGGGGTCCCCTTTGAACAACTCTCTCTTCATTTTTGGCCTGAATGCCTAGATCAAGACTCACCAAACACCTGGGCGCGGGGGAAGGCAGGAAACTCCTCCAGGCGGCGGAAGAGGTTGCGGTGGGTGTAGGCCAGGTCTCCGTGCAGCTTCCGGAAGTCGCTGTAGCGCTTCCAGACCACCACCTAGGAGGCACATGGAACTTGACTGGGACAAGCAACAGTGGGAAGCGGCCATCCTCCCTCCCTGCCTGGCCCCAGGGTGTGTGTACATTAGGGCGCAGCACCCCCTCCTCCCAGGACCAGGGAGGAACAGGGGCTGGTCTCCTGGCAGAGTTACCAGCTGTTGCTTTGCTGTTTCCAGATCTGGAATTGGGAAACGGTCCCCTTCCTCCCAGGAGCCTCACCTCTTTGACATCCTCCGGGTCCCTCTTTGAGATGAACTGAGGAAGAAAGGCAAGAACCAGGTGAGACCAGAGACTGACATCTGACCCCATCATCCTGTACAATCGGAGGATGCCCCAGGTACCTCCCAGCCCCATTGAGAGGGGCAGAGCCCTTTGGCTACTGGTATCAAGGGGTCCTGGTTTTGAGGCTTTGAGTGTAACTTTGGCCAGTTTTTCTACCAGGCAACTCAGTTACTTCATCTGTCAAATTATCCAGGTCCTTGGACTCTTTAGTCAACAGAAATTGATAAGTGGTCAGACGAGAAATTCAGGCAAGGCTTTATTGGAACTCATGCTGCAGTACAGGTGTCCTCAGTAGCTCTCTTAGGAGGGCGGGCTGGTTCCTTAAATGGAGTGAGGGTAGGGGCGGAGCAGTAGGCTGGGCCAGAGCAGTGGCTTAGGTGGTCCGCCACCCTCTTGGTGGTGCTGTCTGCAGTGATCATGCACAGTGCCCTGCTTTTGCTACTGGAACCACAGAAGTGACAGTTGGTTTGTGGCCTTTTTGTATCTTATTGTTCAAAATTGCCTGGACTTTGCATGCGTGCAGTTATTTTTAGTCCCTTACAGTTTCTTAGTATTCTGTTTGTCTGGGTGTAAGTACAAGCACTGGGTAAAGGATCCCAGGTCCCAGCCTGTCTCAAAATGCAAGTATCCCTAAAGGCCCATCTAGAGGACTCCTCCCTCAGCCCAACTTGTATCTCAGTTCCTTCAAAGGGCCAAGTCCCTGCATCTCCTTCTGAAACCAGAGAACCTTGAGTTCTCTAAAGAATGAGGTTCTGTCCCAGAGCCACTTCTTCCTTAAAGGAGGAAGCCTCTGTGGGTGGACACTCCTGGACACAGAAGAAACTGTGGGACTCCTGAAGAGCAGACTGGCCTCTGAGGTGGAAAAAAGACTCTGTTTTCATTATGTATGTTCATAATAATTAAAAAATAACACCCTGCTGCTTAGAGTAACTTTTTTTTTAATTTAATTTTTTTTGGTGGAGGTACTGGGGATTGAACCCAGAATCTCGTGCATGCTAAGCATGTGCTCTACCACTGAGCTATTACCCGCTCCCCACAACCCCCAGCTTGGAGTAACTTTGGCAAATTTGAAAACATCTCCTGTTTATTATCCTAGAGCCCAGGAAGGAAGACACCAAAACATGCCCATTTAAAAGATGAGGAAATGGAAGCTCAGAGAAGGGATGTGACCTGTCTGGGGACTGCTAGCACTGCAACCCTGGCCTTTGCTTTTCACAATAGACTGGCTTAAAACATTTGGGTAAAAGAAATTATATTTTAAAACCACTGAGGAATATATACCTGACAAAGGACTCTTATGCAGAGGATATAAAGAACTCCTACAAATCAATATTAAAAAAGACAAACAACCCAACTTTACAAAATGGACAAAATAGTTGAAGAGGCACCTCCCACAAAAAAAAGATGTTTAAATGGCCAATAAGATTATGAAAATATGCTCAACCTCATTAGTCATCAGAGAAATGCAAAGTAATATTCCAATGGAATACTACACACCCACCAAGAATGGCTAAAATTAAAGATGCTGATGCTATCAGGTGCTGGCAAGAATGGGAGTATAAAATGTTACAATGACTTTGGCAAACTGGCAGTTTTACTAGGAAAACTGGCAGTTTTACTAGGAAAGCTACCCATGTGTCCATCAAATGACCAAGCAATTCCCAGGGACTATATTTTTATTTGTATTTTTTAGGCATGGGAAAGGCATAAAAGATTTGGGGAAAGCTCATTTTAAACATCTAGGAGTCTGTACTTAAATCATTTTGGAAGTGTTTATGTTTTTGCTTCACTTTAATAGCTACCAGTTTAATATTTGTCTACTTCAGAAGTGTATAAGCAAAAAAAGAATTTACAGTGAAAAATTTTCCCCAATCAGTTCTTGTATATCATTCTACAGATGTTATTATACTTTCTATTTTTAATCCTTTTTCTGATTTCCTCTGTGTGTTTATAACGTTGATACTGCTTCATACATCAATTTTAGTCTTTATCTACTGACTTCCTGATATGACTGTGAAGAGACTTACTCCTTAATTTCTTTTGAATTGCATGAATTTTTAGTCATACACAAGCATTATTTTGTGAAAAATTAAAAGAAATTCAACTCCTTTAAAAAAGTCTATGTAAATATCAAACAAACCAATAAACAAAACAAGAGATTGGAGAACTAACCAATATTTGGGTTGAGCCAGAGTTTTCATGTTAACTTAAATTCACGGCCTAATGGCCAAACGCCACGCATTGGGCGTGGACATCCACACCTCGTCGTCTGGAAACTGCTGTCACGCCCTTTTAAAAGGACAGCGCCCTCCTATGGCCCCGCCTCCTGGTGGCCAAAGACGTATACGAAGGCCCTATCGCCATCTCCCCTTAAAGGGGAAATCCATTTCTGTCGTCTAAAATGGGAGCTTCCAGCAGCGGCTTGCCTTAAGGTAAAACACAGCCCCTCTCTTGTTAAAAGGGTAAAGGTCCCCGATGGGTCCCACCTCACCTGCGCGGTCACTTTGTACTCGGTGTAGCCCTTCGGGTGGGTTCGAGGGTCGGAGACTGTGTAGTGCCGCAGAAAGTCGTCCTTCGCCTGACGAGACATGGCAAAGGAGCTGGAGCGGAGCTGACCTCTGGCCTCCGCCTCCTCCACGCCGCCCCCGCCCCTCCAGGTCAGTCTCCGCCAGCCACCTTCTCTCCCGGGCCTGGGCCCTTCCTCCTCGGGCCCAGGGAGCTGGTCGCATGTGACCGTGCAATTCTCTGGCAGGGCGCTTGGCCAAGGGACCGTCTAAAAAGTTCTTGGTTGTTGGCAAAGCATGAACTAGGTGATTTGAGAGTAAGGATTGGGAAGGTTGTGTCACTCAATTCTGCCTTGCGATCAAGCCCAACCGACCCGAGTGTAAACCCTCATCATAAATGACTTCTCCTTTGCTTCCCAATTCCTTTCTTTCATCCATCCACCCACCTTTTATTGCGTTCAATATGTGCCAGACATTGCCAAATTATTTCCCTGTCTCCCTCCCTAGGATTCACTAAATTCATCTTTTCTGGAAGGGTAGGGGGAGCAAAAAAAACCCCAGAGAAGCACGGAGGTTTCATGGGTTCTAAAGTAACACTTATTAACTGCTTGAGTTTCCTTTAACTACTCGAGCCTCAGTTTCTCATCTCTAGAATGGGGATGTTTATAATAGAACCTACTATAGTGAATGTTTCTTTTTCCTTTGTGGTTTGTCCAGCATTCACCCCTGCCTCTTTCTGTTAGCACCATAGCACCAGATCTTTGGAGGCTGTTCAATAGTTTGTGCAGCCCTCCCGCCTCTTAGCCCAGAATCCAAAGGTGCCAGCTCCTTTCCTTGCCCCAGGTCTTGGGGAGGGGTTGTGGTTTTGGGGGGACCGTCTCCTGAAGCCTTGAATCTTGAGTGAGGGACAGAGGACACAGTGCCTGGCAAGGGGACTGATTTGCTCCTTGAGTACAGTGTTGGCTGTGGGTTTGGCTGCCCAGCCTCTAGAGCACTTTTCCAAGCCTTGATGTCCAACCTCCATTGAGATGCCATGAGTCTGCTGTATCCTTCCAAGAAAGGTTCTTCCTGTTGAAGGCAGTTTTGATCTGTGTCTGGGCAGAGCATCCAGGACCCTGACTGATACCACCACCACCACCAGGTTGTGAAGCTTAAACATGGCATTGTGCTGGATGAAGCACTCATGGCCACTCTTGTTACTGGAACTCAGATGAGCGGGCTTTGTAACTCCAGAAAGAAACACAAAGTGGGGTGGAGGCTATAGTTCAGTGGTAGAGCACTTGCTTGTCATGTATGAAGTCCTGGTTTAATCTCCAGTGCCTCCATTAAGGAAAAAGAAAAAATCACAAAGTGAACTCCCAAATCAGACTCTCAGGTGTATGGAAAAAAGGTAGCTTATCCAGGAGGTATTTGGGAGGAGGCTGGGATTGGGTGGTGTCCCCTCCCACAGTACACATCAGGGCTCCTCTGAAGACCCCTTTCAACATCGCTCTTGGTCTTCAAAGTTCTCTTGGCAGAGCAGAGGCTCCAAGTTCCCTTCTCACCCATCATTCGCTCCCCTCCCTTGCCCGGCAGCTCCCCGTTCTCTCCTTTCTGCCTTATTTCTCCATCTAAGACGTTTCCTATCCAGATCAGTTTAGCCCCGGCCCTTCTCCAGATCTCCAGTTCCACCAGTCCCGTCACTGGGAGAAGCAAACAGGAGAGCCTTCTCAGAAGGCAGGGAAGAGGGAAAAGCTGCGGGGGGCCAGGTCCCCACATTCCCACTGGGTCTGCTTGACTATATGAAGCAGACTTTCTGCCACAGCTCATACTCCCCATGCATAGGCCTTTATGATGAGTATAATCTTATTATTTTTCCTATTTACCTCTAAACCATGCATAATTCACGTTTGGAATCAGGATGCTGCTTTTTAAGGGCCCCCCAGAGGACTTGAACACTGGGTTGACTTACCTGGATCAGTGGATGGCTGAGTTCACACTGAATCTGCTTGAACTCATACTGATTGAAATAATGATAATTATAGCTGACATATAGTGCTTATGACACACAAGACACCCACCCATTTGTTTCTTCTCCCAACTGTAGGAGGTAGGTGACATTATCTTTAACCCAGATGGGGAAACTGAGGCACAGACATGTTAAGCAACTTGCTAATCATCGAGTGAGTGGCAGAGCCAGGGTTTGGCTCTGGAGACTGAGTGTGTCCACTTACGGCAGGGGAGGGAGCATGGGGACCACAGCGTCTGTCTTGCACAGAAGACAGGGCAGGCAGTTCTAAATTTCTACACTGAAGGCCAGTTCATGTTCCAAGGTTGTCCACCCAACACCCATTTCCCTCTTCCATCCTAAAAGAGCCCAGATTTTGCACAGGTCTCTCCCCTCCAGGAAGGGATCCCAGTGCCGGTTTAGGAGTAAATCGCTATCTCTTCCTCTCTTTCCATGCCTTCCCTCATAGACACATTAGGCTCTATTTGGCATTTGAATTTCTAGCAGAAAGAGAAAAATAGAAGACTGTTAGTAGGGTGTAGTTGCTAAACATGCTGGGTCCAAATCGCAGATCCTCTCCTTCCTCACTGGTTTTGTGTAAGTCACATAACCTCCTGGAGGCTCAGTTCCTATATAAATGGGGACACTAGGAGTCTGTCCTGCTTGGGGCCGTTCTTCAGTGTGATGGTAAGTGAAGAATGCCTCAAGCAGAACCCTGCAGAGTAAGCATCCACTAGTAGGACCACAGCAAGGGGCCCTGTGAAAACACCCAGCTGTCCTGCCACCTGGATTGGGGCCCTGAGGTCCCCTTGGTTCCCATCCTTTCCCAGCCTGCCCCTGCTTCAGAGTGCCTTTAGTTTTCAGGGAAGGCCCCTTCCTGGCTCTGCTCCTGGTTTGCTAGCTTGGCATGATGCCCACATCCTCCTACACAGGGGTCCTCACCCCTGTCTCCCAAAAGCCCTTGCTCTTCATTCCTCTGTCCTGTGGTTCCCTCTACTGGAACCACTGCTGCCTCATACAGCTGTGCAGGTTGTCCACTGCACATGGGTCCCTTGCAGCAGGAGGTTGGGAGCTGAAATTCTGCCCATGTTCCATTAAACAAGCTGTGAGCCTGATGTTGGGGAAGCATTGCTTTTTCTAATTCATACCTCTGAGGGTAGCAGTAAACCATCCTCTGGTAAACCAGCCTCCCCCTTATTCTAGCCAGAAAACTTCTACTCATCCTTCACTCTCAGCTTTAATGTCACCTCCTCTGGGAAGCCCACCTGGACTCTTCCAAATGGAATTACACAGCCCTGTCCCATGCTTCTATAACTCTTTGCCATCCCTTTGACACAGCGACGGTTGGTTAACCTTCTGCCTGAAATTCTGTTCCTTTGTCTCCTGCAGGACTGTGGGCTCTAGGCAGTCTCTAGAGCTGTTGAATCAGCAAATGACTCAGCCAGGAATGGGGGCAGGGAACAATTTATTCCCACAGCTGAGCAAAGGACAAGGCCCACAGCCTCAACAGCAGCAGGGGCAGCCCCATCCCAGCCCCAGTCCTCTCATCTTGGTACAGCAGCTGCAGGCAGGCTGGGTCAGGAGCCAGGGTGACAGCCCTCCTGCCAGGGGGGCTAGCTGGCCACGGAGAAGCAGTGGGCAGCAGTAGCAGCAGCAGGTTACAGAGGGGCGTGGGGTGTTAGTTGGGCTGGCTGACTCCCATCCCCCAATGGATGGTGCTTGGTGAGGGCCTGTAGAGTGGGGGCCTGGACTGTGAGATGGGGGGCATCTGTAGTGGCTCAGTCGGCCATGAAGATGCGGCTGGAAATGTCATCCAGGAGCCAGTCGATGCCAGGCAGCAGGTTCTCCCCGGTGACGGCACTGCAGCCCTGGATGCACCAGTGGTGGCTGCGGATGGAGTCCAGCTCCAGGGCCTGGGAGGGCAGAAAGTGATGGTGGGCCCCAGTGACCACAGGTCCTGTCCGCTCACAGCCCATTCCCTCTCCTGGCCCAGGGGGGAATCCATGCCTCCCCTAGGAGCCTGCTTTGGGAAGCTGTCCCTGGCCCAGGTGAAGACCTATCAGCCCCTCTGGGTACCTGGGCTCTTTGCACACCACCACGCCAGCACTGCCCCTTAATAATGGAATAGCAACAGGGGCTCCCGACATTGTGCTGTGGGCCCTATAAATGTCCTCTCATCCATTCCCCACAAGGCCCCATAAGCCAGGGATTGTGTTTTACTGAGAAGGAAACTTCAGAAAAGTTAAGCAACCTGCCTAAGGTCACACAGCTAGTAAGCGGCAGAACCTAGATTCTAACCCCACTCTTTCTGGTGTTCAAGCTCTAGAATAAGAGTTAAGATGCAAGCTGGGGTCACACAGCCCTGCGTTTAAATCCTGGCTTACTGGCTGTGTGACCTTTGGCAAGTTACCTAACCTCTCTAAGCCTGTTTCACCGTCTGTAGTATGATAATAATAGTTTCTACCTTGTGAGGTAGTTGTGAGAATTGAATGAGTTAATCCATGCAAAGAGCCTAGCACACGGAAAGCACTCACTTCTTCTTGGCTACTAATTGTCCTGTGGAATAATCTGTCTGCAGGTCTGCCTTCCCCCAGGCTGTGGGGCACAACTACATCTTACTTATTTTTTAAAGATTTGTTGATTTTAATGGAGGTGCCAGGGATTGAACCCAGGACCTCATACATGCTAAGCACACACACTACCACTGAGATATAGCCTCCCCTACAACTATGTCTGATTAATCAGTGAATCTCTTGTACCCTGAATAGGTCCTGCCACACAGCAGGGGCTAATAAATGCTTTCATAATAAATTAACAAAGAAATGCATGCTCCTTTTGCTCCATGAGCCTGTGCCAAGGCCTGGACTCACCTCGCGGATGGCGTTAGAGGACAGTGCTCCGGGCAGGTCCTGCTTGTTGGCAAAGATGAGGAGGGTCGCTCCAGCCAGGCGCTGGGGAAGAGAAATAGGTGGATATGGGGGTTGGAAGCTCAGAGGGCAGCCTGGCCCCATCACTAATCACACTGAGCATCTGGGGTCAGAGATCCACCTGGAAGATCCGGGCAAGGTCCCATGGTGGTGGGAAAGGCCTAAGTGGGTGGGTAGTGTAGAGACGGCCTTTGTGTCCAACCAATTATTGAGTGGGGAGAGCCCTGGGTTGGCCTGGCACCTTGGTTCCAGCCCAGTCACCACCCAGTGGGCACCCCTCTCCTCTGTGCCTCAGGT